GGTCGGGGAGGGTGACACGGTTTAGAAAGGCTCCGGCGGCGATTGTGTAGATCCTGACTGGAGCACTTGGAGAGCGGGGGTTTAATGGGACCGGGCTCTAAGCACAAGCTGTGCCGGTGCCTCTGATACAGCCGGCAAAAGTGCTGCACGGCCCCGAAAACCAGCTGTGAGTGATGGTACCTGGGTGGCTGCTTGGCAGGTGATTTTGGCAGGGAGCTGCTCCTGCAACTTTGAGTTTTCTGCTTAATAAAGGCAATCATGAGTGACCGAAAGGCAGTGATCAAGAATGCGGACATGTCAGAGGAGATGCAGCAAGATGCTGTGGAGTGTGCTACACAGGCCTTGGAGAAGTACAACATCGAGAAGGACATCGCTGCTCACATAAAGAAGGTAAATGCTTGCTTGTACTGTCCTTACAAAATCTCTGTGCACATGAAAAATCAAGCAGGGAGAATGCTGCTGGGCAAGTAGCTCTAGAGAAACAAGTTCTAGAGACACGAGATAATCAAGTTGGGCTTTCTCAGGAGGCTGGTGCCTTTATGTTCCTTCCCCACCCTTTCCATGGGCTTTTCCAGGTCCTTCTGTTTTTCTCCTGCAGTGCCTTCTACTTAAGCTTTTCTGCCACTGTCCTGTGGTCCAGGTGAGCAGAGAGTGGCAGCCGACTGTTCCTGTGACTGATGAGCTGCTACAGAACACAGGGGCTCTATGGAGCTCTCCTACAGTTTTCCTCCAAGAGAAAGTCTGTTTACTTAGTCCTTGGTTTCAATTGTCTTGAACTTAATCTTAAGGATCTGTTCACAGTTCTGTCCGGCTGGGCCAAAAATTGCAGGGAAAAGTAGTTTTCTGCAAGTCAAGTCTACTATAATCACATATCTCTTTATGTAGTGACGTAAGTAAAAAAAGAAAAAAAATACCCACAAAAAAAATGCTGGTGGCACTGATTATCTGTTGTTTGCAAAGTCCATGTTGTCCTTTATGTAGATTTCATAATACTGAACATGGGAAAGATCTGATTATATTTCCGGAGAAATTGAGGAGGGTCAATGGAAGCTAAAATGGTCTGAGTGGAAGAGCTGTTTAAAAAGTAATTCAGCTACACGGAATGATTGCTTCCACTAGAGAAATACTGGTTTGCTGTGCTCACAATACAGAAAGGCTTTTTTTTTTTTCCTCAGGTGCAGGGAGTATCTATGACAGTGGAAAAGAGGGTGTTTAGTCCGATAATTTTCAGGTATTTTTTGTAGCAACTCCTGGGGATTTGTAGAGGATTTGTTTGAAATGTGTAAACCACAAATCCTTAGATTTGTTGATTGTGCTGGTGTTGCAGAGCATGTGGCAGAGAATTTTCCACCGTGTCCCTTTAGCACCCGTGTTGCAGATGAACAATGAAGTCTAAATTACAGCTTAATCTCTGTGGGTATAAAATTACTGGTGAAGCTTTTACTTCAGGGCTATAGCTTCAGATCATTGTATGAAGTATGAGGGAAGAATGACTGCTTTCCCTGAACGTAGGTGATGTTTTAAACGCTCTATATGAGCAGTAGTAAACACTATGGGGTTTTTTGTGGATTTTTTTTTGCCATCTGACTATGCAGCAGGTGAACAGTAAGATGTAAATAAGATAATCCTAGTACTTAAGAGCATCTGCTTTTCCTCTAATTGCCTTGCTTACTGAGTGAATACCTATTTAGAAGACTTCTTAATTTCCAGTGATCTGTTTGCAGGAGTTTGACAAGAAATACAACCCCACTTGGCACTGCATCGTGGGAAGGAACTTTGGCAGCTACGTCACTCATGAGACCAAGCACTTCATCTACTTCTACCTCGGCCAAGTCGCTATTCTTCTCTTCAAGTCTGGGTAGAGCCATGGACTGTTACTGAAACTTGCATCTGGTTACAGGACTGTGCTGACTCCTCTGACTAGTTATTGCAGCCTTCCCGAGGACACAGACCTTGATCTTCAAGGGCAATGGCAGGGATTATGCTATAGCAGATGATACTACATTGTGGATATAAAAAGAAAAAATACCAAAAAAGTCTTCCTTGTATTTATTTTTTTTTTCAGAAGGCTGCTTCTTTGCTAGTAGAGCTGTTGGAGCAGTTTTGCCTTTGAGAGCTTTCTAGTCATCTACAGTATTGCCCTGTTTCTGCTTGTGCTCTGTAAGTACTGACTCTGTTTAGTTCTTTCTGTTCCAAAACTTTCTCATTCTCCTGACTTTATTTTTTTATATGATTTCCCACCTTTTGTTTTGCTGGATGTACTCTCCCAAAGCCTGAGCTCTTCCGTTTTCTGCTGGTACTCCTTGGAGAACTGCTTTTTGAAAATAAAGGACAGGCTCTACCCCAGTCCCAGGTTGTTATTTCTGCCTG